TTAGCATTATTTGGTGAGTAGCAATGTGAGAAAAAGAAAAAGCTATGACTACCAAAGCAAATTACTAAAATATGCTATGATTTTGAATTCATGAATTAATTTGGTATGTGTATAAATTTATTACGAGTTATTTGTGCTATATATTATCTATGAATGTGTTATTTCTCCGGTAATGCGAATTATTATTTGTATAAATGGATAAACAGTATAACTTTTAAATCGTCTTTAAATATCATAAACTATTTTTTTTTCTTTTTTTTTTGGAGGTTTTTATGCCCATTTAAATGCAATATTTATCATTTTTGAAGCATTTCATTTCATTTGAAGTTATCAAAGGAAGGGTCTATAAATTTGCTGAATTTAATTTGACGTTACAAAGATTAACTCTCAATAGTTAATGTAGCCGGTGTTTTCTTGAATAACTTTGGAATTTCAACTATTTCTTAGGGTTTAATTAGTTGATTATTTTCTATTTAAATTGAATTGATTGTCAAACTATTCGAATCCGATTTTCGATTATTTAAGGTGTTTTGCTGTATTGCTTCATTGTTTTAAAAAGTCACAGATTGCTATGTCTACTTTGACACCAATGAAACTTAACGAACAGGTTGCATTATTTGATTCATTACAATTATATTATTTAGACAAAATGCTATTCTTAACTATGCTTTTGCAATTTTTTATGTCGTATTTGTTGCCGCAATTCCAATCATTATTTGTTTTCGCACAAAATTTGAAGATTTTCAATCACAACTTATTTTTCTTTCGGCTTACTTCAATTCACAATTTTTAATTTAATTAATAAGTCATTTATTTCAGATCGTTTCTATGCGAAAATCCGTTGAAAAAGCTCGTGTTTGGTTATGTCGACGATTGATCAGACAAAAGAAATTGCTTCAAAAGTCGAAAGTTGAAAAAAAAACTCGTAAAGTCGATCGAATCATCAGTGAAATTGATCGTTGCAAAGTATTATCTATTTGTTATTTAATATATTGTTCAAAATACGATTTTTGTTAAGATTTTCAGGTAGCAGTTCATACCACAGATTAATTTCATTTGATTCTTTCAGAAAGTATGTCGAGACGATGTATCGAAGTTTGCATTAATTAATCTTAAAACACTTAATGATTTATTGAAAAAGGTTATTTCTCGTATTTATTTACCAGTTTATTCAAAAAGTTTCCTGTATTTTGTTTATTTGAATGAGAATAGTCGTAACTCTCAGTTATTCTTCTGTTAATATAGCTATCGATAAATCAATTTATGTATTATCATTAACTAAAAGACGTTAATATGCAGTAGTTGGTACGAAATATACTCAATATATTCTAGGTCTATTATTTATCGAGATTTAATAGCATTTCATCAGTAATGTTTACATTTCAGTTAGCTTGTCAAGAAGTAGTTATGAAAAGTTTGAAGGAATTTCGTATCGAATTTCATGCGTTAAACTTATTATTTATGTTACTGAGATTAACTTATAGATTGATTCTTAATTTTAGACTAAAATATCCGTTGATGAACGAGTGTTATATAAGTTAGCTTGTCAAGAAATAGTTATAAAAAGTGTGAAGGAATTTCGTATCAAATATCCAAATTGGCAACATGAAGTATCATTCCTGTTACAACGACTTGGTTTGCAATATAAATCTAAGAAGGATGCAAAAAAATATGTGCTACAACAAAATGAAACTAAAGAAATGGCCGAAACTTCCACAGGAAAAGTAAATTTATTGCTTTAATCTTTTATTATTAATTATAAGAATCAAATTTCAGAACTTAGTACCCCTTTTTTGGAAAAAAAAAAATTCGTTTTCATGAACGGTAGTATTATTTAAATAATTAATTACAATATGTGATAAAGTGTTTTTTTAGTCATGGAATTGTTTTTTTTTTAGGTTACTTTTTCTCTATAATTTGGTATTGTCATGACGATTTTATGATCAGCATATCATCACCTGTCGTATGATATATATCATTTTTAGATACCTGAGAGTTCGCAAGATTTGAAAATGATTGTTAAGAAGGAAATAAGGAAGGCTGTGAAAAAGGAAGAAAATTTTGAGAAAAAAAAGAAGAAATTGAAAGATAAGACGAAATCTGATGAATCTGAAGAGATATCTATTCCAGTGCTCAAACTACCAAAATTGGAACTTCCGAAACCAGTGATTGCAAAGGGACAGGTAAGTTGTTCATAAAGTTGTTCTAGCATTAGAAATTAATAAAGTCAATAAAGGATTTCGTATTGGAAGCGATATAATTGGAATGCATTTAGAATGAGTGTTAGCAGTGGAGAATCGATAAGTTAGATAAATTTAGCTGGCAAATTAGTCTTTTTTCCTATAAAATTCCGGGTAATGATTACTGGATATCATCATTTTACTGATTACAAATTTCAGTTGATGTTTAAGGATACATTTCACTTCTCACATTTACATTTCATAATAATCCTTTGTTTTATTTAGGCTATCATCAAACAGTTAAGTTTAGATGGTAATCAGGATGATGATTTTGCATCAATTCCTAAAACATCAATTGAATCAGATGGAAGCAAAGGTTGGGATTCATTTTTTTTTATTCTGCTTTTTTTTTTAGTTTTTTATTCTATAAGTTTTGTAAACTTGTAAAAATATATGATGAACTTCAGATATTGTGCTACAAGGAAATGTAGATGACAATGTAAATAGTACGAATGATGAAGCTAATAGGAGCACTCCGCCAGCAAAAACAAAGGATATTCGAAAACGAAAAAAAGATTTTGAGTGCGATCGAAGCGAAAAACGAGAGGATACTTTGAGACAGAATAATAATTCTGGACCTGTATCATCTTTAAAAAGTTAGATTAAATGATTTATATGATATTATAAGTTTAAAATTTATTATATGAACGAAAATATAGATCGAATAGATAGATTTAATTATTATTTTCACACTTTAAATTTATACAGTGTTATTGTTGTTGAAGTAGAATTGAAGCTAGAATGAGAAAGGAAAGTTTATGCTTATTGTTTGAGACCACAAGATTTCATATTTTGATTCTCACTCTTTTCACTTTAAATTGAAAGTTTTAGAAGTTTTAGGAAAGAATACGAAATTGTTGGAAAACCGGAATTTACATCCATCATGGATTGCTAAAAAACGCGAACATGAAGCTTTAAAGAAATTAAAGGAGTCATGCAAAGCGAAGAAAATAGTCTTCGGTGATGATTGAAATATTTTTAAGAAATAACTTCATTGTATTTCCTGGGTTTGTTGCTTTTGGTAATCTATTCAAAACTTTTGATGCTATTCTGTTTGATAAATTAACATATCTCTAATGAGTAGAGCATTTATTACTAGATTAAGTAATATATATGTTAATTGGGACCATATACTATCAATAATGCTATTACCTAGGTATTTTCTCTTTGTTATATCGAAAAAAAGATTTGATAAATTTGCTGAAATTGCCCAATTTTTTTTCTATTTTTATTGCTTTTTTTTTCTATTTTTATTGCTGCTTATTTCACATTTTATTTTTCTTTCCCAAATATTAATTCTTTGCAATTTCTAGTTCTATTTTATTTTTTTTTAGCCTTTCAATAGATAGGTGAAAGTGAGTGGAAAAATTGGAAAATAAGATTTCTTTCAGTACCACTTCCTTCTGATCTAAAGTTGATGTGCTGTTAATGCTATTTGATTTCTGGAAGAATTAATTTCACACAAATAAAATGCACAGTGTTCGGGATTAAAGGAATTCCTGGTTAATTTTTCAAACAACTCAAATTCATTTTTATTAAAAACGAAGATATATCATCTGTGGATCATTATGATATAATATAAAGTTCCTTAAACAGTTTACATGTGATACCTTTTCAAATTTTCGAATGTGATATCTTTTCAAGTTAAAATTATCTATTATAGTTATGGTATCTTTTGAAACTAATTAAATTATATTTTTCACTGTTTCATACCATAACGTTTTACAAAATAATAAGATGGATGGTGATAAAGAGGAAAAGACAAAATTTACTTTAAATTTAAAATTGGTACAATAGTTCTTTTTTTTTTTCCGTTGCATAATTTGCATATTTTATTCTAAGTGCGATTCGGATGGTTTAGTTTTACTGGGATCTAATCTGTTCCTATGGATTAAATTCAGAGTTTTAGCTCAGCAAAGCTAAGCTAAACTTAATTGCTTAGCTATGAAACGAAATTTAATAAAGTATGCTTGCGTTTCTTTTGTGTGCAATTTATTTTTTAAAGGGAAAAAAATGAGAAACAATTTCATTTATAAAATATGCGAAAAAAAAAGAAACGAAATCAACTCTTATCAAATTTAGTTGGATTAAATTTAATCTAATTTAAATTGCTGTCTCTGATTTATCAATTAATTAATTATTAATATCTATGCCAATTACACAAAAACATCAATTAATGGAATATATTAGTTTAAATATTGAAAGAATTTTTCTCATTTTGATTACTGAATTGTTATTTATAAAATTAATTAGCTAAGTGAAAAATTCAACAATTTTAGATTAAATTTTTCTCAAAAAGAAGAAAAAAAGTAATCAAAATGAGAAAAACACAATTTTTTTTGATGACACTTTTTGATGACACTAATTTTTGAATAATTTATATTTTAAAAAAAATTTTAAAAAAAATTTTTTTTTTCATTTTTACAGTTCTTTTTTTATTTTTAAAATTGAAAATATATTGAAGGATGAAAAGTTTAGCAAAATAAAATTAATAGTAGCATTTATGCATATTGCAATATTATTATTCAATATTTTTATTTTTATTAACATCAATTGTTACCGATTTTTTTTATCTTTCCATTTGTGACATTTAATGACAATCATATGTGACATTTAATGTTGACATATTGCATAAATTATTTATATTCAAGAAAAAAGACACAACTATTAAAAATTGAGCAAATATATTATTAAATTTGATCTTTACTTTCTTCATTTTAACACCAATCATTTTCTAATTCTTCAATGTTATATTCAATTTTAAATTCGCACTGAATTAATTATATCGCGTAATTCGGATGTTCTATAAATCTTATCAATATCCTGAAATGTTTTTTTTTTTTGTTTTATTAATTCTGAAACACTTATTAATTTTCAAAAAATGTTCATAAATTAAATATTACCTGAAATCTAATATTAAAATAACATAATACATAGATAATTAGAACAAAATAAAATGAAAGTTAATAAATAATACAGCAATTGACAAGCTGATTATTCATTGTAGAAAAATTAAAATTAATTTAAAAAATAAAAATGCAATTTAATAAATGAACTCATTATCATACTATGATAGTGATAATATTAATTATTTCTAATTAAAAAAAAAAAAAGAAAAAAGCAATAAAAGACGAACTCGTAATTCGCTAATCCAAATTTTCTTGCTTTCTTTTCGTCGTCTCTTAGCTTTCTTATCATTCTTATCAGTTATTGCTCTTTTATCACGCCCTGATGCAGCAAAGCGTGCCTCAAACTATAATGATTTATTGCTATATTTATTAAAATAATAAAGTTAATTTAAAAATTTTTTTTATTTTAGTTCTATTTTGTAAGAAATTCTATACCAATGAATATTATAGCTAAGTTATTAAACAGTAATTACAATGATTAAAGTTGTTTTTTTTAAATTAATTAAGCTACTAATTAGTGTTGATAATTTCTCGTAAAAGTTTTTATATATAGTAATAATAATAATAATAATAATAATAATAATAATAATAATAATGGCAATAATAATAATAATAATAATAATAATAATAATAATAATAATAATAATAATAATAATAATAATAATAATAATAATAATAATAATGGCAATAATAATAATAATAATAATAATAATAATAAAATAAATTTGGATAAATTATGCGATCAATTATGATTGATTAAATTTGCTTACTTGTTCGAAGCTATTTTCTTTATCATAACCAAGTAAAATATCAATATCAAATGGTTTTCGAATGTAACGATTACGTCGATGTATGCAATTCTGTCGATGTATTTTAAGCTATAATTTGAATAATAATAATAATAATAATAATAATAATAATAATAATAATAATAATAATAATAATAATAATAATAATAATAATAATAATAATAATAATAATAGTAATAATAATAATAATAATTCATTAAAACTTATTTAATAGAAAAAAAAAATTAATTTTAAAATTTCTGTGTTTTCTTACTTTTTTCAAAAATACTTTACAAATTTAACATTTAGCACATGATTTGTTAATCATATTATCATAAATCAAACTATGATTATAAATTATTAAATTAAAATTATAAATAATAATTTGCATATATTTCAAATGCATAATTAAACATCACCTCTTCATCATTTATTTCATTTTCATTAGCAAAATTCATCAATTCCTGTGTTTTATTTCTAGTACCATACTTTCGAATTTCTCGATTTTCAGTACTTCCTAATATCTGAAATATATTTAATTAAATTTTAAATTTTTAATTTAATTATTTATTTTAATTCTTTTTTTTGCATCTGAGAAGGGAAATAATAAAAATTGAAAAGACCGATTCATTTAAAAATTAATAATGTTCTTTATTGCATCCTAAATTACTTTAGAAATTTATTGTATTTCAACAATTGAAATTAATTTAATTCAAAAAAATTTAAGTAATAAAAAAAAAATTTTTCAGTTTATATTTTATATTAACCTTTCTTTCTTTTAACATCGTAGAATCTATTTTTGCATTTGATGTGGAATTATCACAAGCATTTGACGATGATATGATAACACAATTGTTCGTTGCTGATAATTGATGCTTTGTGGTTGTTATACCTGCGGTAGCAATAATTTTTATAAATTTTAATTCATAATTACTAAAAAGCTTAATTATAAAGTTTTATATTTGAAAAATTCAAAAAAAATTTTTTTTTTTAATTTTTAATGAAATAAAATAAAATTTTTGTTTATTATTTTTTTTTCAAACCATTTTCAGGTGTATTTTCTTCTGTTGTTTCAACATTTTTCTTTATCATCATCTTCATTTGTGCATCCGATGAGGAATTTTTTCCTGAAAAATTCAAATAATTAATCATTTAAGTAATTTTAGCATAATTAACTGAAGAAAGCCTTTGTTAACAAATATTAGTAATAATAGTAACAATAATAATGATAATAATAATAATTTGAAACTTTGATTAAAACTTCGATGACAGTAAAAACTTTGATGACAAATAACTAATCAATTAAATAATTTTAGAGTAATTAACTGAAGAAAGCCTTTGTTAACAAATAATAATAATAATAATAATAATAATAATAATAATAATAATAATAATAATAATAATAATAATAATAATAATAATAATAATAATAATAATAATAATAATAATAATAATAATAATAATAATAATAATAATAATAATAATAACAGTAATAATAATAACAATAATAATAATAATAATAATAATTTGAAACTTTGATGATAATAGTTGACACTTTGTGACAATCGCTGCGTTCATTGTTAAAATTTTTGCATTTTTTCTTCATTTACGTATTTTTTTCAACATTATTTGAGGTTATTTTATTTACGTTAAAATAATTATAATATTTTTTTTCTAGAATTTTGTTAAAATTTTATTGTTTTGCTAAATTAATGGATTACTTTATTTATTATTCTCATTTTTCTATTATTTTAAAGGAAAAAAAGACAGAAGAACTGATACTTTTGCATCTTTATAATTATACTTTATATCATTCAAACACATTTCAATTTTTTTGTTTTGATTACCTTCTGATTAACTTTTTAATTTTGATTAATTTTTTTGACTAGTTTAAGTTTTAACTTTTATTTTTTGATTCACAAGTTCAAAAAAAAAGAAGTTAAAAGCTTTTAATTTTATCGGATATTCTATTGAAAAAAAAGTAAGAATTAAAATATTAAAGTAATACTTTTTAATTAATAAATTAGCAATGAAAATCAAATCAGCTATGCTAATCATTAAATTAGCTAAGTGCTTTCAAAAGTTTTCAATTGAATGAATAAAATCAATTTGATTTTTCAACTAAATTTTACAAAAGTTTACAATTCAATATCAAATTTTCATGATTTAATGTAATTTAATAAAATAAATTGTGTAAAATTTTTTAAATTAAAAAACTAATAAATTAAAATTTGTCACAAGCGAAATAAAAATGAAATATAAAAAAAAAAACAACCTGAATTTATCGTTTTACATTTTGTAGCAAAATTTGGCAGATTATTTGCCATTTCAACTTGTTGTGATGATTTTAATCGTCGTACTGTCTTTTTTGGTTCATTTACTGTTTGCGCCTGGAAAATTGCGCATTTTAATTAGTATAAAATTTTATCTTACTGCATGATTTAAAGATTATTTAAATAAATTAATTTATTATGAATAGAATTTAGGTTTTCTTTTTTTTGAATTTGAATTTGAAATAATTTACCATATTTGAATGATTTTTTATTTCTTCCATTATTGTTTCTTTTTCACAATGCAATTTTTCTTCTTGTTTTTTCAATTCTTTTTGATGTTCAATTATTCGATTCTCTTTCCATTTTTGAAAATCATCACCTATTTTTCTAAAATTATGTCTAATTTTATCCTTTTTTGTTAATTTAATTAATGGCAAATAAAAATTTTAAATATAAAATTTCTATTATTTTTTTAACTTTTCAAAAATTACATAACAAATTACTGCTGTATTATTATTGTATTTTTTTGCTAAAAATCATAATTAAAATTTCAATATTATTATTATTACTATTACTATTATTATTATTATCTTAACAATAAATGTTTTAATATTAGAGATGATTAAATATTATAATTTCTTTTCTTTTGAATCTAAATTTTGCATTTTTCATCATAGACAAATAATTTTAAATACAAAAAATTTTTTTTTTTAAAAAAAAGGAATTAAAAAATTGATATATGCTTAGAATTGAAATTCTTGAAGCAATGATAGTAATACAAATGCAGAAAAAAATTTTAAAAAATAATTTGAAATAAATGTTATTTTTTATTGAGGAATAAAAAATTTAAATTTAAAAAATTAAAATTTAAAATGTAACCCAAATGTTTGATCTGCTTCAGTTAATAATTGTTGATGTTTATGTTCAAGAATTGCTCGTCTTGCATCATCAGCTACCATTGCAATACCTTTTTTTAATTCAGTAAATTGTGAACTTAACATTTTACTACCTGTTTTCATTTTCAAACGAATTTCTTCAATCTAAAATACAATTAAAATTATTATCAATTATATAAAAGCTAATTTAAATTTGAAATTTAATAATTTATCATTTCTGATCCTATTATATTGATAGATTTAGAATTTTCAAACATAAATTACTAACAATAATTTATTTATAATTGCAATTCAAATTTAATGAAAAGTAAATTTCTAATTAGCAAATTAGAATTCAAACATTTTTTTTTTTTGCAATTACTTACTTGTTTATCAAAATTATCATTTATAATTGGTTTGATAATTGGTGCATAAATACGTTTTGGTCTTTCTTCATCTTTCTTTGCTAACATTTGTGAACGTTTATATCTACAATTGAATTTTAATTTTTTTAAATTAGAAAAAAAAAATAGAATAGAAGGGAGGACAGAAAGAAGAAAATAGTAAAAATAAAATTTTATTTTGATATTCAAAAAAGTCATATTCAAATTTACTTCAATTCATTTTAGATTTAAATTACTTCAAAAACTATACTAAAATGTATTGTTTTAAAATTTTGTACTAAAATTAACAAATAAAATATAAGAATTTAAGAATGAAACTAACGTATATGCATCTGATTTACTTTCTTGTGAATTGAATTTTGCACTTAATGCATTAACAATTCCAAATCTTCTAGCATTTTGTTTTGATTTTTCCTAAAAAATTAAATTTTAAAATTTTTATATTAAATTAAAATTTAAATCTTTAAATTTAAAAAAAAACAAATTAAAATTATAAAAATTTGATCCAAATACATTTTAAAAAAGATGCAATTATATTATTTTTAGTTTTAGTAAAAAAACCAAAAAAAAAAAAACACATTTTTTTTTTGAAATTAGAATAATATTTTTTTTTTAATGAATAAAAATTACTTTTATTACATACTTAATTTATTTCAATTTTTTCACTTTTGAAATTATTTTAACAAATACAAAATGCTTTTGAGTAAACATTCCTAAACTTTTTGTTTGTTTTCTAATTTGAATTATAATTTTTTTTAAAAATATTATGCAAATTTATATGTAAATAAACAACCTGTTGTAATGCATTAGCTTTTATTGCATCATCTTTAGCCATATTAATAACTGATTTTCGAAGTAATGATTTATCCTCCTAAAATTTCTTTTTTTTTTTTAAAAATTTCAATCATTATTTTAATTTTTAAAAAAAAATTCATTCTGTAACAAATTTCAAAAAAAAAAAAAACAGACTTCAACCATAATTTTTTCTTTTACTTACTTTTTGGCCTGAATTTGATGAAACAGTTGAGAGTGCAGATGTTGGCCTAGAAGATCCAGTGCTGGCTGTTTTATTTGTACAATTTGTTGGTGTATCGGTAAGTGATGTTGTTGTTGTATCATTTATTGTTAATCTTTAAAAAAAAAAATTTTTTTTTTTTTTAAAGTAATATAATTTTAAAATAAACAAACATTTGATTTAATTCATATTTTATCTTTTTTTTATTTTATTATATTTTATTTTTACTTTTATTTTATTATTTTTCATTTTTCTATTTTATATTTTAAAAAACTTACATTTCTTTATCAAAATGAATTTGTGTTTGTTGTATTTTTGCAGTTTCAAATTTTGGTGATAAAATGATTGCTTTCTTAGCCCAATCAGTGCATGGCTTTCGTTCAATAAATGTTCGAGCACTATCAGTAGGATAATTCTCGATTGTTGGCCAAACATATGTTGGTACTACTTCAATTTGATTAATTCCCTGTTTAAAAAAAAAAAAATGATAAAATTATTTTAAAAAAAAAAATTTTCCTTCCATAAAAATAATAAAATTATGATTGTATTAAAATAAAAAATAAAAAAAATTGAAAAAACAAACATTTCAAAAAAAAAAACTAACTTTTTCATTTTTATTTTCCTCAACAATTATATTAATTTGTTCAGGCATTTGAATTTTCAATTCATTAATTTCAATTATTTCAATATTTTCCTCAATTGGTATCACATGTTGTGGTGTCATTTTTCGAATTGCTATTTCAGTTGCACCTTCAGCTATTTGCTCCATCGCTTCATCTTTACTAATTTTTTTGATCTAAATTTTTAAATAATAAAACAGAAAAGAAAAAAAAAAGAAAAATCTATTATGCAATTTAAATTTTCATATAAAATAAAACAAAAAATGAATAAAAAAAAAATATTTCAATAATAAAAAATTATAATTTTGTAAACTTTTACAGCCATAATATCACTAATTACATCCTTTTTTATTTTTTTTTTTGAATTATTTTTATAAATTCCATTTTTATTTATAAAATGAATATATTTTATATTTAACTAAAAAAAAAATAAGTAAACAAATATATGTAAACGAAAATATTATTCAATGTATAAAAATATATAAAAAAATAGAATTCTCTGCTAATATTAAGATATTTGCTAAAAAAAAATGCTTATTTTTTAATTTAGACATTCAATTTTTTTTTTTTTTTTTTAAAAATAAAAACTTACAGAAAATTTCGATGCTTTTTCAACATTTTGTTGTAAATCAATTTCTTGTGCATACGTTATTTCACGACGTTTTTCCGGTGGTTTATTTTCTTCCATTTCAATTTCTTTTACATTTGATAATATTTCCACTGGTACCAAAAACTAAATTTTTAAATTTAAAAAAATAATTTTTGCCTTCTTTTTTTAAAATTCTTTTAATTTACTATGAAATAGTAAAGATATTCTGGGCAATTGTGCTTTATCAAGCATAAAATATTATTTGTCATATAACTAAAAATTAAATATAATCGTTAAATAATTATTTCAGTTCAATTTAACGATCGCTAATAAATCATTAGACTATTAAACAAAAAATTTGAATACTCTTTTTTTTTTTTGTTTCAAAATAATTCAGTGGATAGAAAAAGAATTTTTGTAAAAATTAGCATTTTAAACTATCATTTCTGATTGATTACTTCACCTTGATCTTGTATAAAGGAAATTAAATTAGCATAATTAGCTCTGCAGGTTCATATTATTTCTAAAATTTTTATAACTATTAAATTAGCATATTTAGCTCTACAGGCTCATATTATTTCTAAAAATTCTACAACTATTAAATTAGCATAATTAGCTCTACAAGTTCATATTATTTCTAAAAATTTTATAACTATTAAATTAGCATAATTAGCTCTACAAGTTCATATTATTTCTAAAAATTTTATAACTATCATTAATTGTAGTATTCCATCTTCAAAAATGAAAAAGATAAAACTTTTATAAATTAGTAATTCTATGAAATCATTTTGTAAGAAAAAAAAAGGAAAAAAAAACAATTGGAATAGTTTAAATAAAATCTCTTTCTTATCTTTTTCTTTTTTTCTTATAATTTTTACTGATTTACCGATTGATCGAATATTTCATCACAGATTTCTTCAATTTCAATATTTTCATCTTCTTGCATTGTTGCAGATACCACAGGTGGAATTGAAATTGATGAAACCTACAAACAAACAAAAAAAAAGAAACTTTTTAAAATAAAACTTAAAAAATTAAAGTGGAAATTTTTTTTTAACGAAACATTTTCATATACATAAATAAAAAGATATATTAAAAAATTATGCAAAAATATTAAAAATTGCAGCAAAATATTAATGAAATACATTGAATAATTTATTTATTTTTAGAAATTAATTTTTTAAAATATTTCTTTACTAATAACATATTTTTCAAAAATTAAAAACTAATACATTTTTTTTTAAATTACTGCAAATTTTTGCATAAATTTAAATAATAAATTTAAATTATCATATACTTACGCTATCAATTGCAGCAGATTCTAATGGTTCAATTGAAATATTTTCAGTTATACAAAAATCTTCCGATATATCATCATCTAGTTCCTCTTCATCATCCGTATATTCACTATCATTATCATTATCATCATCATCATCATCATCATCATCATCAACATCATCATCATCATTTTCATCGCTTCTACATAAATCTTCTTCATACTGTAAGTTAAGTTATACTGTAATTGGAGGCTTTTTTTCACAGTTTAAGTAAAAAATGTGCTTTTTTACCTTTTTTTTTTGTACAACTTCATTATAAATTGGTACATGCCACCACACTAAGTTAAAAGTTTATTTTTTCTTCCTTATTTAGGCAAAAAAAGAAATCATTTTTGTATATTTCTTCTCTATCATACTGTAAATCGTACGGTAGTTCGAGCTTTTTTAAGCATTAAATTTTTAGCATCATTTTAGAGGAAAAAAGAAACATAAAGATGAATTTTAAAATACATTAGCAGAAAATGAAATATAATTTGAACCTCTGAATCATCGTAAAATTCACTAGATGACGATAAATCGTCTTCATTTGTCTCCTTTAATGCTGCTTTTTGAACAAGTTTTAGGGTAAAACCAACATCAATATTATCTCGATACTGTATATCATCATACTGTAAGTTAGAAAATTAGAAATTACAAAAAAACTTTTTTCTTTTAATTTTATAAATTTTGTTGCATTTTTTATTAATTGCTTACGTCATCGATAGGTGAAGAAATCGGAGTGAAATAAACGCCAAAACCTGATGATGTTGGACGATAATCATCATTTTCCAAATCATCTCTATTTCTTGAATGACGTTCTAAAGTTTTACCAATATATTTTCCAAATGATATCAAACCATTATAAAATTAAGATTTAAATTTAATTTTATTTTTCATTTGGATAATTTAAGCCAAAAGTTTTTTTTTTTTAACTTGGATAACTGAAGTCAAACTAATAAAATTGTTATTTTATTTAAACAAAACTTTCGATTTTTAAAATTTAATTTACAAATTCAATTTTCAAACAATTTATTTCTAAATTTTTTGCAAATTTTGCTAAAATGATATGAATCATTTCACCTTCAGAATTAAAATCATCAATATCTTCATAATCTGATAACGATTCCACCGATTCTTCCTGTGTTGAATCCCAATCATCCATGCCATCATAGCTAACTGATGTTGTTAGTACTGGTGCTGGTACTGCCATAATTTCCGAAACACGTCCTCGATTATCATTATTTCTGTATTAAAACAAAACACCAACTAATTAATTATTTAATTAATTAATTAAGGATGAAAAAAAATTTAATGTTTTTTTTGTTCTTTTTCACTTTGCTTTTTATTTTTTTTTTTATCCATGCAGTATTATGTTTCGAAAATTAAAAGTAAACCTAATAGAAACTAACCTTGTTGGTACTTCAACAATAAATTCTTCGTTAAAATCATTTTCATAGTATGGAATTGGTGAAATAAAACGTTTTCGGCTTTCCGATAATGAAACTGAATAAAGATCACCTAGAAAAGAAGTACGATTAAAAGTATAAATTATATCATTTTTTCTAGCACAAAATAAAACATAAATAAAATTAATAATGTCAGTTTTTTAAATTCATTATTGAATATTTTACTGTCTCTTAAAAAATTTTAATTATGATTAAAAATTTATATTTAATTAAATTTTTAATTATTACAATTTTTTTTTCTTCATGCGAAATAATTTGCTGGAAATGACAAAATTTTAATGCTTTAAATGCATTATCATACTTTTTGTTTGAGATAATTTAATAGTTTTGAATTTGTAAGATTTTTTCACTTTTTTTTTAAAAAAAATTTCAAAAAAAAAAAATTTATATTTACTGCAAATGCAAATAAGAAATTTCAGTTAACTCAAAATGCAATACACTTTTTTTATTTGAATAATAGCCTTAAACATTATTTTTCTAATGTTCACATTTTTAAAAAAAATTTCCTTTTTTTTTTCTAATTTACTACTTTTTTTAATGAAAAAAAATTAAATTACATTTTTTTCTTTTGTTTTAAATTATGTGATATATTTTTAAAAAATTCGTTTTTTCTTTTAATACTCTAACAAATTCGATTAAACTTTTTTATGCATCAGTTGAAATGATAGTATTTACTACATAATATTTAAATTTCATTTGAAATGAAAGTATTTTAAAGTTAATTTTTTTCAATTTAATGCTTTTAGATTTGACTGAAAATGAGAAAAAAAAATTTTTTTTTTATTTTAGAGTTAATTTTTTATTTCAGTAATCGAAATTTAACTGTAAAATGTGAGTTTTTTTTGAAGCTAATCCTTTCTTCAATACTTACTTAATTGGATTAAAAGAAAACGGAAACTTTTTTTTTTGGGATCCTATTTGCTATAGCTACTCACCATTAAATTATCAAAAAAATACGATCTGTGTTGGATGAATTCATCATTTAGGGCATTAGAAAGCAACCTCTTGGCTTCCCTTCCGTTTTGCTAGCATCCGGTTGCAATTCGATTGTTTCCGAAACGGACACATCATTTTCAATATTATCCTTTTGCGCATTCAGTATTATTGCATTTCCTATAAATTATTTATATTTTTTTTTTACTTAATTTTACAAATTATTTATTATACAATGAAAGAATAGGTTAAATTTTATAAAATTTATTAAACAATATTTTTATTAAAATAACATATTGTTTTTTTTTTTTTTTTAATAAGTAATTATTTTTAGTAATAAATGTAAAATCTGTATTTGAAAATTTTCAAAAAGTGAAAATCTATTAAAACTTCGTTACCATCATCATCATTATCGTCATTATCATCATCATCATCATCAGCAGCAGCATCACTGTCATCATTGTCATCATCACTATCATCAACGTCGTCATCGTCATCACTATCATCATTAATATCATTGTTTTGCATAATACCAAAATTGATATTATCATCAAATGTAAATTCCGTGGTAAGATGATTTGGTGAATTTTGTGCTGATGGTTGTGTAATAAGCAATAATGGCGGCTTTCGATTAATTATATTTTGCTAAAATAAAAAGTTAATAATAAATTAAAAGTTAGTATCAAAACTTTTTGAATAAAAAAAATAAAAAATAGAAAATGAATAATTAAATAATAAATTTATTTGAATAAAAAATAGAAAATGAATAATTAAATAATAAATTTATTTGCATATACTATGAATAACAATTATAGTCGGATGAAATGAAATGATTTAATTAATTTGCCTTTTTTTTTTTTAAATTCATTTCAAACAAATTAAACCTAGAAAGTATCAGTAATCAAAAAGATATGTAATAAATTCTGCACCTGAACAATTGATTAAATCAACGAAATTTCTAACAATTTTAGTAATTAAAATTACGAATAAAATTGAGGATAAGGTCGAACAATAGAAATTTATCACTGATTTATTTATAATTTCTTAAATTTGTTATGATTAGCGTTTTTCTTTCCATCAAAATTTACAAATAAATTTATTACTTTGTTTTCGACTTCCTTTTTTTCCTCTTCTTCTTTTTCTTCTTCCTCCTTCTCCTTCTCTCTCTCTCCCTCTTCTTCCTCCTCTTCCTCCTCTTCTTCCTCCTGTTCTTCTAATTGTTCATCATCCATTTCATTTTCCGGTTCAAGAATTGTTCCGGTTTTCTTCATACTTTGAATCTAATAAAAAAAAAAACATATTTAATTGTTGGTTAACTCTTTGAATGAAATTTAATTTCAAATTACTGTATTCAAATTTCAATTAATTTATATTGACTACTGATATATAAGTAAGTATCTTTGTATATGTAAGAAAAATCATGATTAACTGAATATAACGATAAAATCATTATCCATACGGAATCAATGTTTTACATATTTCCGTACAGAATTATTACATACTGCAAAATTGTACATTTGCGCATCAATTTGGAATTGAAATTGTTATTCGAATTGTATAATTGTTACTGATAAAGTGAATAGTACTTTGATAATTAATAAAAAAGTTTGGCAATTAATAAAATTTGTTTATTTTTTTTAAAAAAAAAAAAAAAAAAAATAAATGATTACATTGTTATCAGCCATATATTGTTGATCACTAACACATTCTAATCTTTGATCATCTAAAATTAATTTTATTATTTTAAAACAAAGCAAATATCTTTCAAGAAAATTTGAAATAAATAAAAAAAAATACAAATTCTGGCTAAAATTATAATACTAATTAATAAATTGCATTTAATTCTATTTGATGAAAGAAACATTTTTTTTTTTTTTGAAAAAAGAAATGAAATTATAAATTCTGTTGTGATGGATGCAATATTTCGATATTTTAAATCAATTAATAATACTTTTAAATTAATAATGTCAATTAATAGTAAAAAAATTTGAATCATTAATTACGATTAATAATATTAATTGAAGTAAAGAAGAAATAACAAAAAAAAAATAAATTAAATTAAAAGACAAAAATTAAAAATAAAAAATTATAATTTCTAATAATTGAAATTTTTTCTTTCAAATTTTCATTACTGACAAATTAAATGCAACGATTTCTTTGTTTTTGTTGAATTTTAAAATGTCTAATTGAATATCAGAAGATCGTAGCAATTAAACGACTATTTAAAATTTATTTGTTTTTGTCTGAATGTCAATTTAAAAATAAATTTGATGGAGCAAAATTGTAAAATTTGAGTAATTTAATATCATTCTTATAAATATAAAAATAGATAATCAATGACGGATAAATTTTAAAACTTTTTTTAAAAAATTTAAACTTTTAAAAAAAATTAAAAAATAAAAATTCATAAATGATAATATCAAATCAAATAAATAAATTGCTAGAAAATAGACGAAGATAATTTCTAATTTCAACTTTCCATTTTGTCTAATTTTGTTTTTTCTTTTAAATAATAAAATAAATTATGTAAAAATTTTTGAAATTTCCAATAAATTAAAATTCAAAGAGTTTCTTTTTAAAATATGAAAATAATAATAGCTAAAAAAAGTTATTTATATCGAAAGATTATTTCCACTGAAATTTGTTCATAAGTTTAATGAAAAAATTTTTGAAAAAATCTTGAATTATTTAAATTTATATATGCCAGGCAAGAGCAAACATTTTTTTTTTTTTTAATGATTTAATGAGAGAAAATTTTTGATAATTTAATAACTGTAAATTGTTATGCTAAATCTGAAATTATCAAATTGGAAATACTTTTCAGAGCAGTTTTTATCAGTGATTATCATTTATTAATATCAATAATAATTTCTCTACATTTGAAATTATTTGTTTAATTTCAGTGCAAAATCTTAAGCATTTAAATGATAGAGCAAAGAAGAAAAAAAAAAAAACAAAGAAAAAGTTTTTTATAAAATAAAAAAATTTTTTTTTGATAACTATTTTTATTCATTTTAATTTCAAGAAAAAAAAAAACAAAATTCAAAACAGCAAAAAAAATTTTTTTTTTGCTTTTATTTCTTATATTTATATTTTATTGTTTATAATTGAATCATTTAAATGGAAGAAATAAATTTAAAACAAAATGATAATTTCATTTTATATCATTTAATAGTCTAAATGATCATTAATTAATAAAATAATAAATTTTTGTATAAAATTTTTAAACGAAGTAAATGTAATTTAAAAAATTAAAAAAAAAAGCAAAACGGAAAAGTCTGAGCAATTAATCTGAATCATTTTCTATTTATTTATTCAAATCATACCATCAAACTTTTTTAATTCACTCCTTCCTCTCTCTCTCTCTCTCTCTTTTATCCTCTTTCCCTATTTATTACCCTCTCTCTCTCTCTCTCATTTCATTTGAAATTTTTTTTTTTTTGAAATGGTAATAATAAAGAAAATAAAATTTTAAATCAATATTTTCATTAATTAAAATATTTCGTTTGTTTTTTGCTTCAAAGTTTTTATTTTATTTTCATACTTTTTTAAGTCTTTCAATTTTTCTTTTAAACTTTCTCACACGTTTACACGTACGCATTCACGCACGCAGGAAAATACACACATAACAAATACGTATGGAAAATAAGTACGCCTACATACATTGATTTATGCGAAAAAAAAACAAAGTTTCAATTTACTAAGCAAACTTAAAGCATTAAATTTTTACAGTGTTTCAATTTTAGTATTGATCAAGAAAAAAAAAAAAGAAAACCGGAATTACCGGAAAATAATTTGATCGTTGAGAAATTGTAATATGTTTTAAACGATAAAATAATATATAATGGTGAAAAAAAAATAATTAAATTAATTTAATTTACCTAATCCTTTAAATAATGGTAATTCCACAATTTCCGTAACATCGTTGTCACATTTCAATTCCTGAAATTGCTTTTTAATAAAATTTACAATTATTACTAATTATATTTGAGTTAAAATTAAAACTAATAATGAATTACGTCGATTAATTAATTAAATTAATTTGTAATCAATTTGCTTCAGATCTTTGTATTTAATTTTGCATTCATTTTATACTTGGCAGCGTTATTAAATATCGATACTTGAATCGTTTTTTTTTTTTTTTTTAAATTAATTATAATAACACTATCATGATTATTACTATTATTAATTAATAAATAGCTGTAATAATAATAACAATAACAACAATAATATATTGTAATATTATAACTTTAATGATAATAATAACTATAAATAATAGTAGTAACAATAATAATAATAATAATAATAATAATAATAATAATAATAATAATAATAATAATAATAATAATAATAATAATAATAATAATAATAATAATAATAGTAATAGTAATAGAAATATAATTTAGCAAATAATTAAATACATATTAGAAATGAAATTGAAAGAGAGAAATTTACTGTTTCATTCGATTGAATGACAAAATTTTCATTATTGATTGGAACTGTTGAAATTACTGCATCATTTTGATTAGCAATTATCGATGACGAATCTATTTGATTAGCATTTTCTACAATTATTAATTAGTAATTAAATATTAAGTATTACTTTTTATATTTAAAAAAAATAAGAAAGAAAAAAAAAAGTAAATTTGAAAATTTTACAACACATATAAATGAGAAAAAATAAATAAAAAAGTACAAGAAAAAAGAAATTTATTTTTTTTCAAATTTAAAATTTTCTTTTCAAACTGAAATAAGAAAAAAAAAATTTTTTTTTTCTTCAACAATTTATTCAAACTTTGCAATAAAAAAAAAGGAAAAGGAATTATTATTCAAACCTTTTAGTATTGGAATAGAATTTGAAGCATTTTCCATCGATATTATTTCATTTTCATTCGAACAAACTGCTTTTTTCAATTTATTATCCTTAAATTTTCATACAAATTCAACAAAAAAAAAAAAAAAAATTTGATAATAAAAATGAATCAATTTTATCGAAATTTTTAAAATAATTTAATTCCTTTTTTTTTAAATTAATTTAAATCCTTTTTTTAATTCCTTTTTTCATTTTTTTCAAAATTTTTTTTTGAAAAAAGGAAATGTTTGTTTTTTTTAATTCGTTCTTTTTTTTTTTGAGGAAAAGATATATTTATAAAAAAGTTAATTTTATAAATTTTTGCAATTTAATTTTTTTAAATTTTGATAAATTGAAGAATATTTCAATGAGTATACCTCTGATACGTCTTTCTCATTAAGTTTAGCAATGCCACGCAAAATATCTTTTAATTCAAAATTTTCATTAGCTGAAAATTTCTCGTCGCCTTCGTCATCATTTGCAGCGATATCAATTTCATTTTTATTTTCGGTATATAATGCATATTTTGTTCCATCGGAAAAAATAAAAAAAAAATGAAAAATGAAATAAAAGAAATATGTAAAAGTTTTCATTTCGTTATTATTACTAAATAAATAGTAAATAAGTAAACAAATTAGAAAATGTATAGTTAAAGAAAATTAGTATCATTTATTTATTTATTTATGCATTGATTTATTTGCTTGTTTATTTATTTATTTATTTGCTTGTTTGTTTACCTATTTATATATTTACTTATTTATATATTTATTTACTTGTTTACATATTTATTTACTTATTTATATATTTGTATATTTATTTATTAACTTATTTATTTATATATTAATTTATTTACTTACTTATACATTTATTTACTTATTTGTTTACTTATTTATATATATTTACTTATTTATTTGCTTATTTATGCATTTATTTATTTATTCATTTATTTGTTTACTTACTTATTTATTTATTTATTTACTTGTTTATATATTTATTTATTTACTTACTTGTATTTATTTATAATAATAACATTGTCTTACAAAATTATTTCATATATTTTATCACAAATGATAGAAAATGTAATTGATAACAATTTTGATAATCAAAATGTATTCCCATTATCACAAAATTTTTGCATAAAATAAAAAGGCTAAAAAAAAAATTTTAATTATTAAAAAAATTTAATTTAACTTACAAAATTTACTATCATTTATTAAATGATTATTTGATATTTCGTGATCTTTTGCATATCGATTGTAAAATTTCTCCAATCGTTGCTTGACATTATCATCTGATTGAGAATGTTCCTTCAGAAAAAAAAAAAAGCACAAATAAATATTTAAATTTAATTTTTAACAAAATTTTTAAAATAATTGAATTAATAAGAAATATGAAAGAAGTAATTGTAAAATTGCATGA